ACATTGTCTGTAGCTTGATTCAGTCATTTGTACACAGTGGACAGTGAGCAATGTCAGGTTGCTCAGACATCACCCTCTTCAGAGAGGCCCCAGCAGGCTATTCCAAGCATGCGGAAGATGTGGCTGGAGGTCTCCCAGGCAGTGATGCCCACCTGCCTAGGCCTACATCAGCATCCCTGCCCTCCTCGCTGTGCTTCTCTGAGTACCTCTTCCCATGGGGGCTTTGAGCCTGTGCTTGGGACCTTTTGCTGTGGGTTAGCTTTTCTGCAGGCCCTGTTTTCTTTTATGAGCTACATTCTGGTCTTGAGTGAGGAAACCCTGAGAGGAGTTGCGCTTTGCTGGACCCTGATCCTTGCCCAGCCCTGCGAGTAGCCCTGCCAAGTGCTTTGTATACGACTCCAGTGTGTTTTGCTTAATGGAGCAGAGAACTCAGAGAGCCTGGAAGGACCTGTGGCGCCTCAGCTTTCTCAAGCTCTTACATACCGGCACGGACGACCGGGGCTGGCACCCTCGGTGGTCAGCTTGTTTATTTCTCGTTTTACCAACCAGTTAAGTCAGTCTATGAAAATAGTTGACTTAGTCATCTGCAGTAGTGACTTCAGCCTCCATCATGGCTCCATACCGATGGAGGGGTAGCACGAATTCTAGTTGGTCTTAGTACTAAAAACCCAGAGTCAGATATAGGGGTTAATGTTTAAGATCAGAGAAGCAGAGAGGCCAGACACTAGAGAGTTCTTTTACCTCTACCAATGCTCAGACCAAAGGGATGATCCTGTCCTCAGACGGCATCTCCAGACTCCATCTGTCTCCACCAAACCTCAGACTGCAGTGAGCTCTTGTTTCCTCCCTCCTTATATTTCTCTCCCCACTCAGCCATAGCACTCCTGTCTCCACCTCCCTAGTGCTAGGATTAAAGGATTGTGTGAGTGCTGTTTCTCTTTTAGACAGATTCAGTCTTTAGCCCAGGGTTACCCTGAACTAGAGCTCCGCCTGTGCCCAGGGATTAAAGCTGTGCGCCACCACTCCCTGGCCTCTAGTGCTTTAGCTCTGCACCCTGATCTTCAGGCAGGCTTTGTTAACACGTGAACAAAATATCACTACAGGAAGTAGTTTGCTAAGTGATCTTGGGAGGACCCTGTAAGTCAGTGAGGCGCTGGCGGATTCTCATCTCGGAAACTCCAAAGGGTTTTCACTTTCAGGTGGTTTTGCTTGGTGCCTCTGTCTACGTCCATGCGCTCCTTCTCCAGAGAGTCCACCCTGGGGCGGGAGAGGGGCTTCTTACTTAGTGAATCACCTCTGGTTCCATGAACATATTTCTACTGTCTTTAAAGGCCATAGCTGTGAGTTGTCCTAGGAGGGAGCAGATGAGTGTGTTCTAGTGCCCAGAACCATGTCTCAGAAGGTTGCCTGTCCTCACAGATGTCCATAGGGGAGGCCAAGCATGGTCATCAGTGGGGGGGGCTGGACTCCGTTTCTGCTGTTCCTTTCATGTGTAACCTTTTCTCGCTAAAGGCTCGGTGACCTTCAGAACTTTCACGGTGTTCCCTGCTTCCTGTTCTAACCCCTAGCCTCTTTTCTGCTCTTCTCTCGGTGGGTGCTGGCCGACCCCGGCTGTGTCATGGTCACAACCTCATCCACAAAGGCACTGGGTTTTTGTGGCTCCCTTCTCTGTTCATGCTCCATGCACACGCTGTGTCTTTCTTTCTTTCTTCCTTCCTTTCTTCCTTCCTTCCTTCCTTCCTTCCTTCCTTCCTTCCTTCCTTCCTTCCTTTCTTTCTTTCTTTCTTTCTTTCGGATTTTTCGAGACAGGGTTTCTCCTTAGCTTTTTTTTTTTTTTTTTTTTTTTTGGGTTCCTGTCCTGGAACTAGCTCTTGTAGACCAGGCTGGCCTCGAACTCACAGAGAGTGCTGGGATTAAAGGCGTGTGCCACCACAGCCCGGCCCACTGTGTCTTTTTAAGTAACATCAAGTCACAGTCTTTGTTTTGTTTTGTTTGTGTATTTCCCCTCCCTCCCTCATTCATTCATTCATTCATTTATTTTGAGGCAGAGTCTTGTTGTGTACCAGGCTGGCCTTGAATTTACTTAAGTCTCCTGAGTGGTGAGATTGAACCAGAATGCACAACTCCTACCATTATATAAATTTATACATACATATAGTGTGTTTTGATCAAATCTGCCTCCTACTATTCCTTTCCCTCCAATTCCTTCCCTGTCCTACCCGACTACCTTTCCCTTCCAACTTTTTATGCACTTTTTCCCCTTTAAATACCTCCTGAGTCCAGTTGGTGATGCTTGAATGTGCTTGGATTTGAGATCATCTGTTGGAGAGTTGGCAGCCTCTTGGCCTACATCACTGAAGAGAATGGACTTTCTCTTCCCTGTCAGCCATCAGTTGCCCAGAGCTCCTCAGATAGGGGTGGGACTTACTGAGCTCCTTCCCACCCTTGCTGGGACCTTGGCTGGTCTGATCCTGCAGGTCTTTCCTGTAGCCCTAGCCACTGTGAGCCAGCATGTGCACCGTTGTGCCCAGCAAACATAGTGTGCTTCAGATATCTACTTCTTTTGATTCTTAACACTTTGTTCCCAATGACCCTTGAACCTCGGAGAGGAAGAATGTGGTGGATGTTTCACTTGGAGCCGAGCTCTCCACTGTCCCTTATACGCTGAACCCCGAGTCTGGGTCTCTGTATTAACTGCTATCTATTGCAAAAAGAAACTTCTCTGATGACACTTGAAAAAATGCGCACTCCACCCCATGCCCTTGGGCATGTTAGAGGCGGAGCTTCTTGTTTACCAGTGTTTCCTCCTAAAAGGAGAGGGAGGAGCAGTTGCCCTCTTCTGTGGCCTTCAGAGGTTGGACTGCTGGTTCCACTCACCCCCCCCCCCCNAGATAAGAAAGTAGAGAGCAGTTTGTTACACTCGTTACAGTCCTTTAGCAGAATAATAATAGCATTAGACTTTTCAGTAGGGCCTATGACCTAGCCAGCCCTGGGATTTGGGCCCAGTTAATGGAAACAAACATGGTTTTTGTCTTGTAGAGTGGATTTTAAATCCAATGAAAAACATAAGGTTCATAAATATAACATTCATGACAGTATTGTATCCTGGCATATCTTGCCAGGCGAGGTGCTGTTGTAGCTTGCAGGGTGCACAGCTGTGTCAGACTGCTGGTGACCGCCCTTGCTTTTCAGAATGCACAGCGCCTTCCTTTCCACTATGAGTGCTAGACAGCAGGGTGACGCAAAGCAGCCACTTGATCTCTCCATGCGCGGTGAGGAAGTGTTGCACCCTTGGCTGTAGGTGACCAAGAGTGACAGTCAGCTGCCTTCAGCAAGGGAGCAGGATACAAAATTAGCACACGAACCTCAGTAGCCTTCCTATATACCAAGAACAAACATAGTGGGAATGAGATCAAGGAAACAATCTCCTTTACCATAGATTAAAAAACAAAACCCAAACAGTGGACTCCATCTAACCAAGGAAATGAAATCTAATTTGGTACAATGAAAGCTGTAAGAACTGAAGAAAGAAACTGAAGAATTTACCAGAAGATGGAAGGGCCTCCCATGCTGATGGATTGGTAGGATTAATATCGTGAAAATTACCATCCTGCCTAAAAGCAATCTACATATTCAGTGCAACCCCCATCAAAATTCTAATGCAATTCTTCACAGAAATTAAAAAGGCAATTTCAAAACGCATATGGAAACACCAGGCAGGACCCAGGATAACCAAAACTTATCGTAAACAATAAAAATAAACGAGGTATTACCATCCATTGTGCTATTTCTTCTTAGAAATCAAACAGTGCAAGTTTCCTGAGCTGCATTATATGCAAACATATACATTACTTTTTAAGATCAGATCATATGACCTTTCACTGTTTTTCTAGTGGGGTCTGCTGTAGTTTTAGAGAGAACATGGTCCTGGTGCCTGGAATTATTTGGTGTGCTCTAGTGCTGTGATGATCCTCTACGACACCAGGCTCTGTTCTTTACCGGGAATTTACCATTAAAAGTTAAGTGCAAGGCACAGAATAAATGGAGGGAACCGGAGACCCTTGCCCCCACCATTGGCTTCAGCACCCTCGGTGCATTACCGACTCATCTCTGCCCTGGTCCCCAGCTCTACTCCTGAGAAGCCCAGGTGTGTGGCTCAAACTCTGGTGTCTCTGTGCTGAGGTTCTCTCATCTGGGGTCTTGAGCCCCAATCATATCATCATAATTAGACGCCCTGCAGGATTTGGGGCTTCTAGGAAGGTTGTCCCACACCAACTGTGGGGTTTCCCTTTTCTTAGTTTTTCTGTGTTTTCTTAGTTTTCCTTGCACGTCTTTTCTGTCCTCTGTGTGGGTTTGCATATCAGCTTGTTTAATTTCATAAGTACCTTGCTAGATGATTGCTGCGGTTGTATTGAATGTGGGACTGGCTCTGGGGAAAGCTGAGTGTCCTATATCTGTTTCCCTGGTGTGCTGGCCAGTTCCCACAGTGAGGCTCCACACCGTCCCTCCTGAGCTATCTCCCAGCTGGTTTTGTTATTGGGGTTTTCTTAGTCATCTCTGTTGTTTGTGTTTGTAAAGGCCTTGGTCTTCATTTCAGGACCTTATCCCTAGGTGTTCAGTGTCCACTGAGCAGTGGAAGAGGACTGTGTGGAGTCAGACACCGCTTCCATCTCTTTATAACTTTGCCGTTGCTGCTGTGTGTGCTGCAGGCCCTTGCTTGAGTAAATTCTCTATGCTTCTAAGAAGGTTTTCAGGGCAGTCTCTTCCTGAAGGGTCCCTTCTTGTGTTTGACTTGTGTTGGCATGTGACAGCCAGTGTTAATGTTGTTAGTGAAAACAGCCACATGACCACACTCTCTTCCAGCGGGTCCTCACTTTTTAATGCAAAAGCTTAGGGCCACCTGTGTCCTTAGCTGCTCCCTGTAGCTTAGCATCCAGGAGGAGGATCTCTCTGGCCCTTCCCAGTGTGTGACAAGTATCTCCTTTCTTTTTCTACCACAGGCTCGGTACAAGCAGAGCCTCGATCCCACTGTCGATGAAGTAAAGAAGCTTTGTACATCCCTGCGCCGGAACGCCAAGGAGGAGCGGGTCCTCTTCCACTATAATGGCCACGGGGTGCCCAGGCCCACGGTGAATGGAGAAGTCTGGGTCTTCAACAAGGTGGGCCTGCCCTCAGCCTCCACTCTCCTTCCCTAGAAGGCGTGTCAGTTTGGGCGTCCCCTGAGGTCTCCTGCCTATAGCTTTTGCTGGCTGAACCCTGGGTGTTTCACCCGTTCAGCTTTTGGAGAACAGTGACAGGTGACACGCCGCAGGCCAGCAGCCAGGGTCCTGGTTGAGGGTGATCAGGCAGAGGAGCCATTTCTTTTGGAGGATGTATTGATGAAAGAATCGTAAGACTCCATGTGTGGGTGTTTTGTCCTCAGTAACAGGTGGGATGCTCATATGGATGGATCTCCTGTGCAGTCTTTCCAGTGTGAACAGCGGCAGTCTCTCTCTGGTTCCTGGGTGTTCTGAGTATTCCAAAGAGCTGATGCCCAGATGCTGCTTGGGTGACACCTGAGCTTTCCTGAAGGTCAAAACTTCAGCGTCTAAGGGTGCCCTGAGCCAGAGAGTAGATGGTGGAAGGAGGGGATGACTGCCCCGTCTGAACTGAGGAGTGCCTGTCACACTCTGTGGGCAAGATGTTCATGTCTGTGCTGAGCAGCCTGCTACACGGGCCTCGCTTCTCTGCTGCACAGGACGGGGAGCTCTGGAGGTGTGGGCTCCAGCAAAAGTGAGTGCAGATTTCAGTGGCGCCCTCCATAGGGTCAGGACTGGGCGGGCAGTGGACAGGGGCCTGAAGTACAAGACCCCGTTTAGTTCCCTCTGCAGGGGTAGTGCCATGCTTTCCTCATAGAGACTACGTACCCTTTAGATCTTCTCTCCATTTCTAGTCGTGGATTCCACTTGTATCATATATTCTAAATACGAGCAGGGTGTGGGAGGGGCTCACAGGCCACAGCGTACATTTGAGGTCAGAGGACCAACTTTCGAGAGTCAGTTCCTTCCTCCTAGCATGTAGCTCCTGGGAACTGAACTCATGATGTCAGGCCTGACAGCAACCTACTAAACTATCTTGCTAGCAAAGTTAGAAGAAAAGGCAGATTTTAAAGGAATATGGTATCATGGACCACCAGGAACTCTGGGACTCAGGAAAGGAGCCCTGGAAGCCCTGGGAGCCCTGTGTGCCCTCCATAATCTCATGCCTTTCTCATCCTTTCTTCTACATTCTGACTCCAGGGCACAGAGGAATCCAAGCTTCCTATTCTCTGGTTGTGTCATATCAGATCATATCTGCAGACAGAGTCATTTCAGAGAGGACGGGTTTATTTTAGCTTATTGAACATATACATAGCATTGTGTGTGTGTATGTGTGTATCTGTGTTTGGGGTATGTGTGTGCTTGTATGGTCTTAAGTGAGTGCATGTGGAGGTCAGAGGTCAGTGTGGAGGGTCTTCAGTTGCTCTTCCTCTTATTTTGCTGAGACAGGGTCTTTTCTGAATCTAGGCTTGCTGTTTTGGCTTGGTTGTCTGGCCAGGAAACCTCCAGAACCCTCCAGTTTCTGCCCCATGGTGCTGGGGATGTAGACACTCACCACTGTGTCAGACTTTTCCTGGGTACCAGAAATCTCTGCGTGCTTGTGCAGCAAGCACTGTATGCACCAAGCCATCTCCCTAGCTCCTGTTTTGGTTCATGCCATCGTAGAAAGTAACTTATGGTAGCTGGAGTGTCCAACTGCTCTGTGTTACATGGCACCATGTGGAAGTGCAGACCAGGGCCAGAAGTGGCACCAAGCTATAACCCTCAAACCCTACCCTGTTGAAATAGGAAGCGGTGGGGCTGCGTCCCCAACACCCCGGCCGCTTGGCTAGCTCACGCCCGAAATAACAACACACAAACTGTATTCATTTAAGAACTGCTTGGCTCATGAACTCTAGCCCTTACAGGCTAATTCTCGCACCTGGACTAGCCCATTTCTAATGATGTGTGTAAGCACCCCAAGGTGCGCTTACCGAGAAGAGTCTAGCCTCCGTCCATCCTGGTGTCTCTGCTCCAGAGAGCAGAGTTGTCGAGTCTCTCCTGGAGAGCTGAGCATGGTGTCTCTGCTCCCGAGCTGTCGGCTCTCTCTGGGAGCAGAGCAGAGTCTGACCTCACTTCCTCTTCCGCCCAGCATCCTATTCTGTTTATTCCACCCACCTATGTTCTAAGCTATGAGGCCAAGCAGTTGGTTTATTATAATTAACTAATTACCTTCCTCCATCACTACCCAGCGACCACAAGTCACTCAACTGTTCCCCATGTCCACCAGCTGGACACCAATATAGTTGTTGATTTTTTACTCTTTTCCTCTGCTCTTTGGGGGGGCCTACCGCCAACTCCCAGATAAAGCACACATGGAGTCTTATTCCTTCTTATGGGTGCCCCGCCTTGGCTTGGCCTATTTCTAGCCAGCTTTTCTTAAATTATCCCATCTATATTTTGCCTCTGGGCTTTTACCTTTATGTATTTCTGTGTACCCCTTTTTACTTCGTATCAGTGGCTTGCTGTGTAGCTGGGTGCCTGGCCCTGGAATCCTCCCTGCTCCTTTCTTCGCTCCCTTCTTGGTCTTTCTTCCTAGATTTCTCCAGCCTTGCCTCTCTTTTTTTCTGCCTTGATATTGGCCGATCAGCTCTTTATTAGACCATCAGGTGTTTTAGACAGGCAAAGTAACACAGCTTCACTGAGTTAAACAAATGCAACATAAAAGAATGCAACACATCTTTGTATCATTAAACAAATGTTCCACAGAATAAACATGTAAAAAATATATACAGCTTTAATGGGGAAATAGACTTACATACCACGGTTCCGGGGAGAACAGGAAGCAGAAGGGAAGGGTGGGTGCATTCCCGGCAGATTTATAGGTAAACATTAGCCCGAGGCGAACACGCCCCCAATGGGCTGGGCTTAACCCTACATAAACAAATGTTACTTATCTTAAAATAATATTCCACACCAGACTGATGTTGAAACAAGTGAGTCTCTTACAGACCTTTCAAAGTCAAACCATAGCATGGGTCCCAGCTGGTTTTAAGTTGATGCACTGGGGCCATCCTGTGGGTGAAAATATAGGGGTCTTGATTCTTCCTTTTGGTAGATGTGGACTCCCTCAGTTGTAGACATTGGGTTTGGACTTTGGTGGGTTAGGATTGGGCATAGGCATAGGGTTCCAGTGGTTTTTCTTGTTGGATTTGGACCCTTGCCCTGATCTACTGCATGTGCTTTTCCCTGTTTCCTGAAGATTCATCCTTGAGTAACCACCAGTGCTGCTAGGTGTCTGTCTGTCCCCTCCTCATTCCTCGTGTGCAGGGCAGCATCAGATGGGTCTTCTCTCTGTCCCCATGCCTCCTCCTCGCTGCCTTGGCTGTGTGTGGGAAAGGGACATTTGATACAGCTAAGATTTCCCTGGAACCTGTTGAATACGTGTGGGTGCTGCTGATTGCTAGCCACACAGCCTCTGTTCTTGGGTTGTTTCCTTTTGTCTTTCATATTTGTTGGAACTCTGTATTCTAGGCAGACACTCTTCATCATCCTCTAAATTTATGGTTTGTTTTTTATTCTGTTTGCGGTTGCCTATGATGGACAGGGGTTGTTTATGCTGGACGGATCTCACTTGCTGTTCTCTCAGGAGACAGCAACATCTCACCTAAGCTTTCCTCAAAGTTTTGTGCCTTAATCAATTATAAGTAGGTCTTTTTTTTGACCCAGAGCTTTTTTATGTGTGTCATGAGGTGGGGGATCTGCGTTTGTCCTCACAGCCTGTGCTACTTCACCGTTCACGCCAGCTTTGACCTGGGCCAGGCTTCTTCAGCTTTGTTCTGTGCCCATCAGGTTCTTGGTTTTCAGTGCTTCTTAGTGTAGGGGGACACAGGCACCCTTTGTTCTTCTTGTTGGTGTTTTGGCTAATCTTGGCCTTTTGGTCTAATAAGAAAATACTGAATCCATTTGTTTGTTTCCATAAGGCGGCTTGTGAGACTGGAGGGATGGTTCTGCAATTAGAGCACTTGCTTCTCTTCCAACGGACCTGAGTTCAGTTCCTGCATCCTCACTGCCCACTTCTGGACTCCACAGGCACCTACATAAATCAGTCTCTCTGTCTCTGTCTCTGTCTCTGTCTCTGTCTCTGTCTCTGTCTCTCTCTCTCTCTCTCTCTCGTAAGAATAAAAATAAATCTTAAGAAAAAAGAATACTTGTTGAAATATGTCATTTTTTTTTTTACTGGGGTTTATGGGAAGGCTGATTTCCAAACTCAGTAGATTCTAAAGTTTGTCCGTATGCACTGCTGCTTTTCCTGATAGATGATGTCATTTGCAAATGGATGTTTTTATTTTTCCTACTCTGGTTTGTGTCTTGTATGAATTGCACTTGTTTTGCAGTGCTGGCCTCTGAGAGAAGCAAGCAGTGATGGGGATACCTTGTCTCCTCTGTGAGGAATACCTTGTCCCTGTGAGGTCTGCAGGAGGCTTTTTGTGGGACAGGGGGAGGATGGAAACTTTTTTTTTTTTTTTTTTTTTTTTTTTGAGACTGGGTTTTTCTGAGTAACAGCCCTGGCTGTCCTTGGAATTCTCTTTGTAGACCAGGCTAACCTCAAACTCAAAGAGATCCTTCTGCTTCTGCCTCCCAAGTGCTGGGATTAAAGTCGTGCACCGCTGCCTGGTGAAAACAGTTATTATCAGCTGAAGAACTTTGCTACTCAGGAATCAGGAGACGGTGTTGGTTGCTCCAAGGCATCTGTTGTGCTGTGTGTTGGGTTAAAAAGGTATAGTCCTGCTTGCTTCATTCTTAGTTCTGAGGAGATGCTGTCTCTGCTAGAGTCATTGTTTCTGTTGAGATTGGCAGAGTGCTTTTTCTCCTGCAGCCGACACAGCGCGGTGCGACAGCACTGTTGTTGGTGCCTGTTTGTCCCCGGTCATCTGCTTCACACACAGGTTTTCCCCAGCTTCTGTGCTCCCCGGTGAGATCTGCCTAGATTTTTCTTACTCTTGTCTTTGTCTGGCTTGAGTAATCAATACTCTGTGGCCTGAGAAAACGAATAGGGGATTTTCCTTCTGCATTTGTAAGACTTGAATCATTCGACTGCC